CCAAGCTCTCCCTGTGCAGTGTTGACAGTGCTTTGTGGAAACAGGTGATTTCAGCAGTCACAGCTCCTCTGCAGGGCTTGGGATCTGCCAGCTAAATCCCAGTGTCATGGGATGTTTCCTTTTGAAGCACATTCCCAGTGCCAGCATCACAGTCTGTGGATCACAGACCCCTCAGTGCCTCCTGACTCTTTCCTTTCATCTTATTTTCATTTTTTTCCTTCACCATAATAAGCCTTCATTTTAGGATCTCCTTTTATCTCCCGAGTAAAACATTAAAACAAAAATACAACTACAGAAAAAGTAGAGGAAGATGAACTGTCACACTGGTCACTTCTGGTTTTCGTTCAGTGAAAAAATTGTCATATTTTCATTGCCGAAAAGGAGACCCTGATTTCATTTACCCCTCTCATGCTTTCAGAATTGCACAGGAATATACTACTACTCTATGCATTTCAGAGGCAGATTCCATCTTTCCTGTAAGTAACAGTTTAGTTGTGGGATTTCTCCTCAAACGATACCTGTTGGATCTGAATTCCCCTTGGCCTTGGGAATGTGGTCAGAACTGTGGGGGGTCCATCTCTAACACTCACCCTTAGATGTTCACACAGCCCAGCGCTCCTGCAGGTCCAGATTGATGGGGCAGAGCCCGAGTGCCTTTGCAGTGGCTGCCTTGGCTTTTGCTGCTTTGTGCTAAATCTTTCATTTCAGCTTCACGCTGTTATTCTGTTTCTCTGTCATCAGACTTTGCAGGTGACTCCCTCCCCGAGTAAACTGCGATTCCTTTTGCTATTAAATTTAAAATTTAACAGCAGCGATTATTGCCTGTAATGGTGAGAATTTTTTCAGCCTTCCCACTCAGCATGTCTGGGGCTGGTGAGAAAATAAATTACCTGTATAAATATAAATGCTCACATTTAGCTGAAGCTTCCCATGCAAGCTACATTCGTCTCTCTAATGGGAGCACTTGTGATTTAGAGTGGAGCATTTCAAAGCATGAAGGCAATAAAGCCCGTTCTTTGTGATTCTTTAGACGTGACAACTTGCTTATTACCTCCCAAATAACAGCAAAAGTGATGCTTATTTTGCTTTCACCAGCCTACTTAGAAAGGCCTTGACATTCTAAATAACAAAATGTGCTAGCATTTTGAATCTGTACTGATACTTTATTACTTTCAGTTTGATTTCTAGTTTAACGGGGGTGGGGGGGAAGGGATGTTTTTCATTTGATAGCTTTGTTTTTCTAGAACTTTTTTTCTTTTCCCTGTTCCCATCCTCTCCCTTCCTTGTTCCTTGTCCTCTCCTCTTCTCTGCCCCCGAAAGCTGTGGGCTCATGATGTAAGACAACTGCAGCATAAAGAACCTGAACAGAACTAATCTCATAAAGCAGCAGGTGGAACAAACACATAACACCCCAGAAAAGTAAATAAACTGTGAGGTTTATCACCCACCAAGGAACAGGATATTTACTCTGCTCAAAGTAGTGCCCCAGCATTTACAAACAGTTCACTAACCTATGGAAGAGGGGAAGAAGTCATGGCTGGGAGGTTTACACTGCATTTAGGAAACTGTTCACAGAATCAGAGAATGTGCTGAGTTGGAAGGACCCACAAGGACCATCCAGTCCAACTCCTGGCCCAGCACAGGCCCATCCCCAAGAGTCACCCCCTGTGCCCCAGAGGATCATCCAAACCCTCCTGCAGCTCTGGCAGCCTTGGGGCTGTGCCCACTGCCCTGGGGAGCCTGGGAAGTGCCAGCCACCCCTCTGGGGGAAGAACCTTGTCCTGAGATCCAACCTAAACCTGCCCTGACACAATTTCAGGCCATTCCCTGGGGGCTGTCCCTGTCCCCCCAGAGCAGAACTCAGTCCTGCCCCTCCTTTTCCCTCACCACAAGCTGTAACTGCACTGAGGTCTCCCCTCAGTCTCCTCTTCACCCCCAAACTCTCTGCCCCTGCCTTCATGTGGCTCAGGAAGTGACCAGGCCTTGTTATTCCTTCTAGTTTTTAAGGAAGGTTATTAGAAGAGGATGCTGAAAAAGGGCTAGGCAAGAGAAAAAGCTGTTGCTCTTGAGAGCTCAGCTGCAAGAGGAAAACATCGACCTGTGTAATTTCATCTCTCAATGCTGCTCCCAAAAGGATTTAAAATGGGTTAAAGGACGATTGACAAGGCCACTTGAAACCCCCCCCCCAAACAAATTATACATTTTACATTTGTTTTTCTGCTGTAAATGCGTCTGGAGCTTAGAGCGGGTGCCTGCCCCTCCTCTGCCCCTCACGGCGAAGCTGAACTGCAACGAGGTCTCCCCTCAGCCTCCTCCAGGCTGAACACACCAAGTGCCCTCAGCCGCACCACCATCCTCACTGTCCTCCTTTGGACGCTCTCTAATGGCTCAACACCTTCTTTAAGAGCGGCTCGGCTAATTTATTAATTAAAAGCGCGGGAAGCCGTCCCAGCACCGGGGCCTTCCTTCCCCACACGCCCCGCCCGGGCCCCGCCGTTCCCCCCGGCGGCCACCAGGGGTCAGCGCGGGAGCGGCGGGGCTGCCCCGGGCTCGGCACGGCCCTGAGGGAGCGGCACAAACACACAAATATCATCGTCCCCCGGACCCACAGAGACACGATCGGCACGAGGAAACACGCGGTGGAAACGACAGAGAGGGAAAAAAAGCATTTTGAAGCATTTCGGTGTCTCACCGCTAAAGCCTCCGCTGTGCCTTAGGGGGAATATTCCATTCACCCAAGTGAGGCCGCGGGGCGGGTGAGGCTTTCCCTCAATACGCAGGATGTGGGGGCTCTTGGGGGAATCGCTCGGACAAGGCATGGCACAAAGGGCCTGGGCATGTGCCACCCCTTCTGCCCCGCTCGGAAAGTAAATATCTACCAGCACACCTCATTTTATATTTGCTGAGCTCAACGCAGTGACAGCGTAGAAACCTGAATTTTGCTTGGCTGTTTTCAGTCACGTCCAGTTTGAGCTCTAATCTGAGCTTCAGTCTGTTTCAGCAGCGGATTCGAGACTTGCTTCCCAAATGTTTCCCATGGGATAAAAATAAGGCTTTTTTGGCACGTGCTCATATCAGGACTTTTGGTCTCCTTGCGTAGCTGTTTACTTCATGGGCCCATCTACCTTGTCTTCACTGGAGACATCTGCTGATCTAATGTCCCATATTTTGAATTACTTTTGTTATCTGCAAGACAAAACAGAAGGGCTCAAAGCAGCACATGGCACTCTGAGAAATGGACAGTTCACATACGTTTCAGGAGGGCAAACAACTTGTATTAGACTAAATCTAAAACAATTTAGGATTATTCCAGACAAGAGACAAGCTGAAAGCAAGCAATGAATTGCCCCCACTGCAGCTCCATCATGCCCAGGTGACACTCTGAAACTTCCCAGAAACCAGAGCTTTCCCGAGCTATGCCAGGGGCTGGGAAGGGTTTGTGGAGGAACTTTTACATTTGCAATTTAGGAAAAGACTTGTGTGACCTCCCACACTGAATTCTTAAAACAATTTAGTGCATTTACCTGCTGCTGAACTCCAGCTCTGAGTGCCTGGAATCACTTGGCGCAGAGATGACAATTCCATATGCAAATCCATGCGATGGATCTGTGTGGCTCATCGCTAATAAAAACCCTCACGGGCACCCATTTGCAAGTGGTCACTGATATGAACGTGCAAGATCCAGTGCAAGGGTCAATTCAGAGTTTTCTTTATTAAAATACCTTTTCACATTCCTTATACTAAGGCATTTGCATGGACACTCGTGGGATGCTGAAGGAACATTTGTCAACAGAAGAGAGCTGTGAAGTCAGTCGGTTGTGACAGGCTTGTGATACAAACAACATTTGCACAGGGAACAATAAATTAGAGATATTAGCCAGTAACTGGAGCTCGAAAATTTAAACACTTGGAATGAGGATATAAAACCCTTTTGTGTTTCGTGGTGGCTTTGCACCCTTGATGCAATGCTTAAAGCAGTAACTTTATATATGTATATACAATCCATGGCCTCTCTTTCACTATTTTCTAATTAAAATAAGAACCTTCTTACCTGTGGCCCAGATCTTGTAGTAATTTAATCTGCAGTAAGAAAAGGAGAGCAATTGCAGTGCCAGAGGCCAGCTGGTTTTGGGGCTGGGGACAGCATTTTGTCTGGTTCGTTTTGGGTTCTTTTTTTAAACTAACACAGCTGAGATAAACGTGGGCTGCAGAGATTAGAGCCAGGTCCAGACTGGATCCATGGTAGTGGTTTATCTAGGTATGGGGTCCCACACTGGCCAAACTGGGCACAAGTATGACTTCAGAACCCTCCTAAAATCAAAGGAATAAGGATTATACATAACAGGATTTTCAGGTACAAACTCACTGACTTGGGTGCAGTAAATCCATCCACTCCCTGAAGACCTAGCGTAGAACCATCCAAACCAACTGTGATGGACAATCATTTCTTGGAGAACCATCACACCAAACTAACCAACAATCACCAGACCTTTTAAAGGGGAAAAGCAGTTTAGCAAAGAATAAAGACTATTTGTGCCCCTCCTGAGAGAAGCACTTGGTAAAGTCTGAACCTCTGACCAGTTATTCAAGTTTTTCGAGCACCCAGAGCTCTCTGTTCTGTCAGGCCCTCCCTGCAGTGAAGCATCCCTGGGGCTCTGAGCTGGCTCCAAGCCTGGTAGCAGTCCAGCTGCTGCAGCACAGGGAGTTCAGCACAAGCTGCAGGATCAGAAGGTGCATCCATGGCTGGCCAAGCTGTGCTGAGCTCTGCTCTGCCACACAAGTGTCACCGATAGCCAAGGTAGCGAGTTCAAAGCAAGCTCAGGTATTTCTACGTCCCACTGGCATCCCAGTAGTGGCTGCACTGTAGAAATGTGCTTCCTCAGCTGTAACCTCCCCTTTTGTTTCCTCAGAGAATGATGAATTGGAGGGAAAAAAAAAAAAAAAAGAAAAAAAAAAGGCAAAATTGCATTAGCGGGAGAAATTAAAAATGAGAACCTGGGTCAGTGGTTTCTAGAGCCACTTTCCTATGGGAGTTTTTATTTGCAATTTTTTCCATTAAATGCTTTAGGAACATCCCTATTGTTCCCTCTAAGGAAATAATCTTTGAAAAGAAGAGTCTGGCAAACTCATAAATAACTGCTGCGGAGCCTTTGAAATGTTTGCAACGTCTTCCATCTCGGCTTGTTCTCTTCTCCCAGCTGATCTTTGAGATGACTGTTCTAAGTAGCATCAGGATGCCCTGATATTCTCTGTTGGCAACAAGAGCAAAAGAGAAAAAAACCAAGGTGTGAGTATAAATGTGCCTCTAACCCCCTGTCCTGTAATAACAAAGCCAGATGTGAATATAAATGTGCCCCTACCCTCCTGTCCCATAACATATTCCTGAGAGTGCTGCACAGTGAGCTAACAGATACTCACAGTTCCCTGGGGAGATATTAATATTATCTTCATCAGATATAAAAGGAAATAAGACAGTGGGAGATTTAGGTCAACAACTACAGGCTAGACTGCAATGCTGTTAATCACCAACATCTGCAAGTGGGTGCTTGCTGATAAAAGCTGGATTTTTAAGGGAATTGCTGGCACTCAACACATCTGGGAGTCAGATTCCTATTTACTAGGAGAGCTTCAGCTGCCACAATCAGATCCTCAGCTTCAGTCTGGGGAGAAGGAAAACCCTTTCCTAAGGCTAGTGTCTCCCAGGGAGCAACTTTGGGACACCACGTTCCTCGCAGAGCCTGGCTGCTGGGAAGAGCTTATCTGCAGCTCCCAGCAGGGACACAGACCTGGCACTGGGAAGCACAAAAGGCAGCGTGCAGATGCAGCGGTCCAGCCAATGGGAACGGGCAGAGAGAGATCCCAAACTTCATTGTTTTCACGTTATACGGCAGAAATAATTCTGTCCACCGGGGATTCACAACTGTCAAGTCTTTCCTGACATCGGCTGCCAAAGCAAGTCTTCCTCCAAGGAATTCCTAAGAGTACATGGTGGCCTCTAACCTAATAGTTTAGTCTGTCAGCACCGAGGCGCCTCGTTCCTTTTGTGGCCTTACCCCCAAAGGATTTGCCCCATGAGTCAGAGGCAGGAATTCCTGGTTTATAATTCAGTGTTTATTTCAGAGTATCACCTTGTTTTCCATATCCTGACTGCCTGAGATCTCTTCCCCCCAACCCCCCCCAATTCTAACTGGACACATCCTTCATCTTCCTTTCCTGTCTGCAACTGTTGTGCCATGTCCCTGTGCCCAGTTAAACACGTGCCAGGCCCCCCTTCAGAACCGGCTGCGTTGCGCTGGCAACGTGAATTCCTTCACCACTGAGAAAATACTTCTGGGATCACTCAGGCAGGATGAGAAAGCAGCTGAATAACACCTCGAAATTCCTCCAAATGGCTGTAAATTGTGCAGGTTTCTGTCTCAGAGGGCACAGGCTGAGGCTGAGCAAACAGGCAGCTGAAAGTACACGATGTGCTGGCCGAGGCTGCCAGTCCTCCTGCACCCCCAGGACAGAGTCCCACAAACAAACACACACACACAGCTGAGAGGGAGCAGCAGAGCAGGAGCTATGAAGTCAGAACGTTCTGCTGAGGTAAATTTGACACAATACCAATTAGGGTTTGGCGAAGTGGCTATCTCATTGTCAAGATATTTCCTTCAATATGCTTTCAGAAACTGGGGCCATTAAATAACTTAGAAAGATTGCCAGCTCTGATTTCAGGAAGGAAACCTCCTCCCAGTTCCTCTTTAAGTAATTCATTTCTTTTGCAAATACTTCCTATGGATGGCATTTAAGATACAAATTTCTGAACCAGGGGAGATGGAGGGAAGCAACCCCAAACACAGAACTTCAGGTTCCTTTCTCCATGACCCAAAAGTTCCAGACATTCAGGTTCAAGGTACTCTGGACTGCAAATCACTCACAACCTGTACTGTAGCAGGGCCTTTACACAATTCAATTATTCAAACTTTAACTGGTTGGTTTTCTAGAACCTTTCTTGACATAATACAAACACTTTGAATGCCTAACACAGCACTTACTGTCAGTGCATATTGTTTACTAAAGGCTCAATTTTGTGATTGTCTCTCAGAGAAGATGAAGCAAATTTCCTAGATTTCCCTGCTGGATTCTATTTATTCTGGCAGAAACTGGGTAGGGGCAAATGCACAAAAGCAGGGCTGGCAATCATTAAAATGATTTGTTCCATCTTCCTTCTCCACAGAGAAGAGTGTTTTGCCCATGACTTCTGGAAGAGCAAAGCAGAACTGAGTGTTAACAAACTTTATCTGAGCTGGGGAATCCACATTCTTTGATTTTAGGGAGTAAAAAGGACATGAGGATCCGATGTTGAGTCTCCCCCATCATCACTGAAACAAAAAGGCTGAGTGTCCTCCCATCTCTGAAAACAGCTCCTAGAACAACACTCCTCTTGCTGGGGTGTCCTTTGCCCCACACTGCTGGAACATCTATTCCATCCTAAATAGAGCCAAATTCTACAAGTTTTATGACAGGCCACTGTGTAAGGAATCCACCTGGCATTCCATGGCGTCGAGATGCCAGCTGAGCACCTGAAGGCCTCCTTTCACTCACCAAGTAAGGGAGCAGCACAATAAAAGCAGCTTCACCTCTGAGCCAAACACCTAATTTGACTATCAAGAAGCAGAACAGCTGGGGAGGAAGTTTAAGCCACTTGATCACTTCATAAGAAGCATTTTCCTTTTCATGAGTAGGATCAACAACCCCTCATCTGGACCAAACCTCCGAGAGCCATCCCAGTCAAGCACTGTGTGAAAATGAGCTACAGAAAAAAAACCAGCTGCAAGAAAATAATGATACAAAGCACATTAGTAATTCCCTGCCTCTTCTGTGCTGCCTGAAAAGTGTTGAGAGGCAGACAGAGGGGACAGGAAATCTATAAAAAAACTCATCTGTCCATCCAACATGGTGCTGCTTTTTGCCCCAGGCTGTATTGTGAATACAACAGGGCTCTGGATTTTTTGCTATGTACTTTAAAACACTAATAAATTTAAAAAAAAAAAGGAATAGTTGCTATGTTAGTACATGAACAGTGCAGCAAAGCAGGGGACAATGTCTCAGATGTGAACTGAGTCAAGCTGCTTCCAGGAAACCTCAAGCAAGATGTGAGGTGTTAAAAAACTGACTTTTCTTTGGGGTGTTTCTGAAGATGGGATTAGTTTCGCAGAAGAGTTTTATGACTCTTCTACTGTTAACAGAGAGTAATAAAAGAAACCCAAAGAAAACACTGCCCTCAGCTGACACTTGTTCCTTGAATCTACCATTACCTCACAGATTGTCTGGTTTAGCAAGCTTTAATAGCCCAATTAATTATGAAAGTCATTTACGGGGTAGCCAGAGTATTTTCACTGACTTTTCCATTAGAGTTCCATGGAGAGATATTTTATTCAATTTTGACCATAGGAAAACAAACAAAAAAAACCTTCATAAACCTCTAATCTTTTATCCCATGTCCATCATAAATTAGGTAGGCTGTGGAAAAAGAAGACAAAACCTCCTCCCTGAGTTCACACTGATGTTTGTCACAGCCCCTCTCCACCATTTTCCCTTTTGTGTTGGACAGGGACAAACTTTCTCCTGCAAGGAATTCCTGCTACAACCCAGAGGAGGGTTCAGCTCCCCGTATTTTTAGCAAATCGAAAGCAAAGAGTAAAAACAAACCTTTAAACTAAAAAAGACAATGCTCCTATAAACCCTCCTGGCCTGTCTGAGTACGAGGCTGTTTATTGGAAGGCAATCTGTGACCTTCAGTGCTCTGCCAGTGTCTGTAAATAATACAATGGGCTGCCTGTGTGTCCCAGGGGATGGGAGTGCTGATGGAGCCTTTCAAAACTCACATGGATGCCACAAGCTGACGTAGACTGGCCTATTGTGACTCTTATTTATGGGTCTCTTCTTCTTTCTTTTGAACTACGAGTTCCAAAGTGGATGGCAGAAAAAAAACCCCTGTTTTGCAGAGTCTGAGCTTGGATTTGAGAGCTTCCCTAACATTCATAGAAGTACTCCTGAAATGTCTTGAGGGCAGAGTAACAGCTCATTCAAGACGTTTCTTGGATTTTTTAAAAAAATCCCTATTTTTCCCACTGGCTTCTTAGCACTGTGCAGCTTTTCACCACCTACAGAACCTTCCTAAAACTCCAAGGTTTTTTAGCTGAGATGCTCCATTTATGGATGGTGTTCTCAGTGCTTGGTTAGAGCAGCATAACTGTGACCCAGCCGTGGCCCAGCAATTTACTCTGCAATTAAAAACTGCCTTTGAAATCTCTTACACAGCCTCAGTTTAGCAGCAGCCCTTGGAGTCACCCCACCTGCTGTGCCAGTGGATGCAAACACAGCCAGGAGGTCACAAACAGTGAACAGAAGGAACTTGTGCAGGTTGGGGTCATTGCTCCTTAGTTTGACCTTAGGAAGCACCTCCCCTTTTTTTTTGATATTTTTTTTGATATTCCAGTCCCAGGGGGTGTGTGTGAACAGGAACATCCCCAGGAGAGCAGCTGGGAACTGGAAGAGCAGCTCTGTCCAGCTCTGTCCCCACTGACACACTGACCAGTCCAGCAGGTTTTAATTGCACACAACATTTACTTACAGAGTGCCTGTTCTCCAGAGAACCTGCAAAACAAAACACAGGGCACAAATCACAACATGGCACAGTGCAGAGGGAGTTCTGTGCTCCAGAAAATGCAGGTTGATGCACTTTAACCCTTTTGTTCACCTCGAAATGATGTCAAATTGTACCTACAACTGAGCCCTGGTTTAACCCAAGGGCAGGGGGGACACCTGACACAGCAGAGACCACACTGAGCTGTCTGACAGCTTTCTGATGATGGCTTAGAGCACAAGTCTCTCCTGAGGGCACAAGCTGTTACTGGACAAGAGAGTCTTCCTTTCAGAGGCAACTTCTCAGGAGAATTAAACTTCCTGACCCCACTCCTTGCCAGGGAAATAACAGACTGCAGAAATCCGGTGTCAGATACAAATTTCAGGGCCAAACAAGATCTTGCAAAGACACCTGAAGTTTTATTAATAAAAAGCTGCTCGTTCCCAATAAAGCCTGGGAGCCAGCAGGCTCTTTCCATTTAGGGTGTTTTTTTTTTTTTAAAGAAGTGGATTTAACTATTCAGAATTTCCAGAGAACACAGTCAATAAATATATATTTGCCCTCTGAAAGGAACTCCAGTTTGAGGAGAGGACTTCAAGCCTTGTCAGAAGTGCTTTTGTGTTAAGATACTTCACACATGACAAAAGCAAGTGCTGACTCTTGAAAGGGATTTTCTTGGAAAATATATAAAATTCAGTGGAGAGAGGCTGTGTGGAAGAAATTCTTCTAATGCTCAGAGCAGAGGGTTTGGACTGGGGCTCTGGGTTAATCTTACCAGTATTTTTCCTGTAAATATGGGATAGTCTAAATCTATGTTTTTTCTAAGTATTTAGTTTTTAAATAGCAAATAATAACATAGGCAGAACACTTCTGAGAAGTTCTCTGAAATCATTCAATTAACATTATGCAGGGCACTACTACCAGCACCAGCACAAGGGCTTTTGGAGACTCCCTTTTCAGCAGAAGTAACAGGAAACAGAAGGGAAGGTCCCTGGCTTGGCACATTCTGAATTTTCTCCAGGACAGTTCCACACAGAACTATTAGTCCAGGCAGAGGATTAAAAACTGCAGTGATGCAGCACCCTGTGCCAGTGCATGAACCGAATTTCAGTCCAAAATCATCTCAGTGTGTGGCAAGATGGATCCATACATGTTTAGCCATTTTGATAAGAGACAAAATGGAACACACGCAAAAGCTTTTGGTGTCCTGAAAGGCAACAGAAGGGAACAAAACCACCCCTGACCCAGTGCTACATCAAAGCTTGGCTTTAAGTGGACAAAGCTATACATAAGGTTTATGAAGTGAGGCATTAACAAGCTGTCATTTAGTTCTGTCACCGTGTATTGTGCTCACAGGAAGGAGGAAATGAGAAATTCTGTGTAAATTCCCAACTTCAAACAACGGGATGTTGGCTGCCCAGAGTCCCTGGGTCACAGTGACAGCTCTTCCAGCTCCTTGTTACCTGTCACCCAGATCCAAACTAGTGGGGCTTCCTCCCTGAGGGTCACTCTGTGCCAGGAGAATGGCAGGACCTGTGTCCTGGGGGATTTCTAACAGGTACCAACCAGGGAAACCAGCAGGGAGCCACTACTAAAAGTTCCAGTCATGCACAGAGAAGGGCAAACAAGCAGCTGCATGTTTTGGGAAAGGACTCAGAGCTGAAGGTCTGATACTGAGGATTTCTAAACTATTCCCAAGCCTAACAAAGGCAGGTGTTTTTATGGATTTCTGATGCATTTAAACCCTTGCTATTGCTTTTAGTTGATGGGATTTAAAATTCAAAGGCCACACTTTTACAAAGGACTACATTAATAGCAGGAATTTAGGACACTGTCATCTCCACCTGCTCCAGCATTTCTTGTTGCTACAGGTGATGGAGAAGAGAATATGAGATTAAAAAACTGCAATTCTTAATCCAGCTGAACCCCATCTCCAAGGCTGGTGAAAGCCAAGCTGTCAGCCCACGAGCTGGAGGTGCTGCAGACACACCAACACCCTCCCCTCTGCCCAGCCCTTCCCTGGAGCAGCAGCCTCTGACAGGGAATCTTGGCAGGCAGCTTGGGAGCAGCTCTGACACAGGGCATGCCCGAAATTCGGCTTTGCACGGGGGGGTTCAAGCAAGGTCAGAAGCTCCCTGCAAATTTGTGCCTTGCTGAAAGCATCTGGCTCTGGCCAGTTTTTATCTGGAGCTGTTGGGAGCCTTTGGCTCTGGAATGGGCATCTCCCAGATCCAGGCTCGGGTCTAGAGTGTCTACAAACCTAAAGGTCCAAAGAGTTCTTATTTTGGAGAAGGGACAAGTCCTTTGCACAATTTTGGACTCATAACACCTGAGTTTTGAACAACACAGTGAATCCCCAGGCACTGTGAGTTTTCTCTGTGCTGGAAAAGGCATCCAGTGGGAAATTCTGGCCAAGCATGGAGGTGTTAAAGCCTGAGCTTCAGGAGCAGGAAAGTATTTGAGCAGATTTCCTGATTGCTGGAGCTGATTTCAAATAGTTTGTTCCAAACCACTGAGTGCAGTGGGGATTTCTCAGGCCTCTTTCCACTGGGATATATTAATTTTTCCACAGTGCATTGTTGGTTGCTGTAGGATTCTTTGAATTTCCTGTCTCACTGCTGCAACTGCTTCCAAGTGAGCAGCTCACTTTTCCAGGCTTAGCAGCAGAAAGGCTGGCTCTGCATTTTGTTCACTGGATTTCCACTTTCCTCATAAGAAATTAGGAATTGGTAACCTTGCAATGAGCCACTCTGAGGTCGATTCAGTGAACACACAGAGCAGTGCAAAGCTGCTGTGAGCTTTGGGTCTGGCACAGAGCAAGGACAGAGCTCACTGGAGGAACAGGAATGTCACAGGAAGCGCCCTGGAAAAAATGTAAGGAAATCTGGGACCTGGAGTTGGCTCCGGTCTCCCCAGCAATAGGAACAGAGCTGTGCTGCCCCAAAAACTGGGAGCAGTGCTGAGGGAAGGGCTGGAGCTGAGATAAAGAACCAGTGTGGAGATGCTGGGACTTCCTGCCCCTACTGCCCCTGGGGAAGATGAAAGGTGTGATGAAAATAAATCACGTCTAAAAGAGCCTCCACCCACGAGCTGAGCTGGCTGTGTGACACATCCTGACCCTCCCTCAGGAAGAGCTGCCAGCCTGGCCCTCTGGGACTGCAGCACAGGCACATGGGCAGCAGGGCCACACCGTTCTGTCATTCTTGGCAGGCTCTTGATTTCGGCAATTGCCTGTTTTGTTAAAGTTTTGGACCGTCTCAGTTCTTTTCTGAGCAAAAAGCAACAAGTCTGGGACTGGGCTGGATGTTCCTGGCCCTCAGTGAACTTTGGCCTTGTCACAGAGCCACCAGTATTTTAAGGAAATGAGTTCATCCTGGTGAGTTTAAAGGACTTTTAGGCAAAGGTGTTACTGCCCTGACTGGCACTCGTTGTTACCATTCCCCAAATTCCCATGGGGGTGTAAGGTTTGATTCAAAGCTGGGGCTTGAAGCTGCTCTAGGTATTTTATGTGAAATACTAAAGTAACAACCTATTGCTCTAGAAAAGGTTTTAAATCAATAGCTGGGGGGACTTGCTGAACACCAAATGTGTCACTGAATTAAACTGACCTTTCAGCAACAGTGCAAGGACAAGTTCTTATCTCTGAGACAAAGTGATCAGCGCCCTCTTTAAATTCTCATTACAGCAGAGGAAACCCAGCATCAGGCTAGAGATCTACAGGACTATTGTCTGACTTTCAATCAGAATACACCTGACTAGACTTGATATTCACAAATGTCCTGCTTTCCCTGCTGTAAACGAGTTCACTGTAGTTAACCATGAGCAGGCCTCGTGGGATGTGAAATGTGCATCTGACAGTTTGTCCATCTCAAAGCTAAAACCCCCTCCTTAGGCCTGGCACTCAGAACAAGGAAAGCACAGCAGAGAGGACGAGGAATAGTGGGATGGAGGCACTCAAATGAGAGTAAAGGAGACAACACAGCCAGCAGCAGGAGAATAAACCCAAAAGGAACAGTGACAGATACTCAGCACAGTGCCAAAGGCTTGGGAAAGGCCAGAGCATTATCTGCACCACGGATTCATGAATGGGGATAAGGACAAGCAATAGCAAAACATAAGAGTTTGTTACTGATGTGGCATCTGCCTTGCTGGGGACAGCAGGGAGAGCTGCCAGAAAAAATGAGGAGGGAAAATGTTTTAGCTCAGTCACAAAGAATTGCATCAGGCATAACAACCACTGACAGTGCTTCAGCTCCCTCTCCAGTGGCCACGATTTGTGGAATGCACAAACAACCCCCTAAGGTGGCTTAGGAAGCACTAAATTCTAATTAGAAAACCTCAAACCACAACAGTTACCTACAAACAAATAATAATAAAATGTTACACGGGTCTTAGGTGTTAAACCTGCCAAACTGTGTGGCTGACACCACTTCCCAAACTCCTGGAATTTCCCCAGAGGACACGTTTGTCTGACCCATTGACTTCCTGAAGTAGATTGGACTCGTGGGCTTTTGCTCAAAAGTCTCAAAGAACAGTCCAACATAGTGAAGATCAGAAGGGTAAACCAACTTCTGCCCCCAGCAGTGATGTTCAACTGGCCTTTAACATCCTCATATCAACACAAATTCAAGTACTCCTGAAGAACAGATGTATTTCCCAGGGATTCTCCACGGCATTCACCTTGGCCACCTCCCCATCCCACAGCCCATCCCAAACCAAAGTTAGCAGTACACTGACTGTAAGGTGGCTGTCCAAAGCACTGCCCTGCTGGGGATGCTCTGCTTATCTCCCTGCAGCACTTTTCCTGTGGATCCAGTCAGGAAAACCAGACGGGATTGAAACAAACTGCTCCCGTGTTTCCAAGAATAACTGAAAGTGCCCAACGTTATTCATGACAGAGCAGGTGCACTGCAAGATTAAGGGGCGTTTGCAGATGGTTTGGCTAATCCAGCTCAGCCTTTCAATCATCTCTCATTTTACTGCAGTCCCCACTTTATGGCATTACAGCCTTCGAAATGCCTGGAATTACAGCTCTGCTGTCCCTGCCCAGAGTTCACCAGCACAGCTCCCAGAACACCCCCCTAGGACACAACACCTTCTGTGGTGTCAAGAGCAGGGATGGGGAGAGGTGGGATAATCCCCCTCTCACCTGGGCAGAGCAGGAGGGGGTTTATGCAGCAGCTGTCACAGCTCCAGTTCACACTGTGTCAGAGTATTTGTGGCCTTTGGGTTCAGCCCTAAAATAAACTGATGGGTTTTTTATCTCATGGTGCTGCCAGGTGATCCTGCACGAAGGGCCTGGTCCCACTTTAGTGTGAAGGATATCCTGATTTTCACTGTGAAAAGCGAGCACAGGCTCAGCACCAAGGATTCTGGAACTCTGTTCCCAGTGCTGTCACTCCCTGCACACATTCCCTTAAATGAATGACCTAATCTCTCTGTTTATTCAGCTGGAAAATGGAGATAAAAATTGCCATGTATGTCCTCACAAGGGAAAATTAAGTAATGTTTTCTAAAGTGCTTGGAGATCCTCACACGAAAGATTCCCTAGAGACAGAACACTGTGTCAGAGCAGTGGGAAATCCCTTATAAAACAGAAAAAAAAAATAAAAAAATAAAACCCAACAGTCAAAACTTCAAAATGGCACACAACAAAGCCACTTGGTCACATGGATGGAGACAAGACGTGAACAATTTGCAGCCCCAATATTTACAAATCTCGACTTCCTAAGACAAAGAGAGGAAAGGAAATCCTTTCTGATTTAGTCTTTGACAAACTAGGAAGAAATGCTGTTAACCCCCTGGCTCTGAGCTCAGGAGTGCCACATTTACTGCCAGGAACTGCCAGGGAGCTGGTAGTGCCCCCTCACACAGTGTATGACCCCAGTCTCCAATGGGTTAGGCCCAAATAATTAGCAGGTACAAAACAAACAGGCTGCTGAAGTAGATGTTACCAATATTAATGCCACTGCAATAAGTATCGTTGATTTATGAGGAGCCACAAAGGTGTTATACAATCTATCAGCACCTGTGGTTTTGTAGCTGCACTGTAGTATGTTCCTGTGTGACTTGCATCTCTTTTTTTTTTTTAAAGGCACTTTATCTTCTAAATATTGTCTTGTAAAATATTCAGTCACAAATTTATCCCTAATCTCCTCCCAAATGCTTCCTTTAGAGTTTAATTTTTCACTAGCTTACTTACCATTATTAGCTTTTCTGATTTCACTATAAACTGTTTCAGTCCCCTTCTGTACAGGAGCTGGAAAATGTATTGGCACAGAATCAATTTATTTTCCTTTTTTTTTTTTTTTTTTTTTTTTTTTTTTTTTTTTTTTTTTTTTTTTTTTTTTTTTTTTTTTTTTTTTTTTTTTTTTTTTTTTTAATTATTTGCCTTATGAAAAGCTCCTCAAACAAACAGAACCCACTGTTTTACTTTCAGAGGAAGCAGTTACCCAAGCAGCAACGAGCCTGTGGAAAAGCAAGAACACTCCCTCCCCAAACCCAGCCTGGAAGGAACTGAGAGGGAGATGTCTCTCCCCCTGTATAAAAGTGATGCTAAAAATCTGCTTCCCCCTTCTAAATTGAACATTTTAATAATCTCCTTTGAACTCAAATCGATGCTGCTTTAATTTTACAGAGCCAGCTACCACTGGAGAACAGTTCCCCTGGATCCCTTTGAAGAGCTGCTTCAGTTTACTCTCAGCACTTCAGGAGCTGAGACCTGAGGTGATCTATCACTGGGCAGAGGAACTACACCCCCTTTTCAACAACTAGCCTAAATCTCATGGGCACAAAATACTAAATTGCTGTTTGGGAGATGTCTCCGAAGGGCATTTCCAGATTTCACACCGTGCAGCTTCTGTTTAGAGTTATCTGGGCAAGGTGTCCCCTCAGCGTGGGGGACCCTTCCATCAGCACCGAGCCCAGGTGGGCACAGAGGAATGGAGCTCACAAGGCTGGTGGAAGGAGGGGAAGGAAAAAAAAAAAAAAAGCAGACAGAGAAGGTTTGTGCCTCCAAAGGACACAGCTGGGGGTACAAGTGCAATGTTAGTCCTACCAGAGCCTCAGGCTGGCAAATAAAACTCTGCTCTGGGCTGAGAAGGAAAACAAGCAGCTCTGCCTTTTCTCCTGAGATCTGTGAGAATTTATCCACGGGGTTTGGTACCAAACTAGGGACACACACAGGGAAGAGGCTGAGCTTTGTCTGAAGGCCCAAAACCAGCCAGAACTCAGGTTGTGTCTGCTCAGCAGAAACTGCCGGCGGGCGGGAGATCAGAACAATTTCCTGGATTTATTACACGGCTGTAGCTTAAAAATCCCTGTGCAACCAAAATGCATTTAAACCCACTTTCTTTATTTGCTGTAAAGGCCTGTGCTGGCAAGGTCCAGGAGCTTGCTGTTCATAGATCTCAAAGTGTTTCAGAAACACTCATTCATTTCAGTTAAACTGAGTCTGAATTCTATCTCTATCACCTCCAATTTCTGTGCACCTTCAACAAACCAAGAGGTTAGGGGTTTTTTTCTAGTTAAAGGAAAAAAAAAAGTAGTTGTTCTCTCTCTGCAAGAAACTGGAAAGAAAATTCACATTTCTGGATACAGAATCCTGTACTTCAGCTATTAAAAAACACCCAAAACACTTCAAGAATTCAGACAATCATCTGCAGTCAGACTCAGAGTCAGGACTGTTACTGTTCTGCATCACTCTGAAGAACCCAAATGTCTCTGGCACCACACTCTGATTTTCCAAAGCCCATTTCACGTTTTTAAAATTCTGTTCAGCATCCTGTAAAAGCTGGGAGCTCACACATCAGAGCTGGGCTGCAAAACTGCTGCTAATTCCAACGCCAGGAGGAGTTCCACTTCCCCACGTGGCTAATCACAGCTTTCAAACTCCCAGCTTTGGCAGGAACCCTCTCTGCAAAATAATCCGAGAGACCTTCAGGCACATTTCATGTGCTCGTGGGCTACTGCTTAAATGATCCATTCATTTGCAGCGAAGTAAGGAGCAATCTTGTCAGAATTTTAATAAGAGGTAGCTCATTTTGTTTGGGAGTCCTTTTTTAGCAGATTACAGCCCTAAATCTACCCCTTCTGACTCTGTGGAAAGATTTGGTTGGAGGCATTTCCTCAGCTTGCTTTTTTTTTTTTTTTTTAACTGAATTGTGATATAAATGCCACTGCCCATGTTATTTCCTTTGTTAATCTTCCAAAAGTCGTCTCAGCGCTGAAAAAATGTGCCAGGAGAAACGACTCGGATTATTTGACATTTTGTTCCCACCAGCTTTATAATGTTGCCACCCTGCAGATAACTAATCAGATATAAAAAGTAGAAGAAGGAGCATGTTCTAACTCAGCCATGATTAGAGGTTTTTCCTTTCTCACTTCAGGGTTGTTTCCTAATCTTACTTCAGCCTCAGGCTTTGGTTTTGCTCAGGCTAATAATAAGGGGTCTAAATCACTTCTCCATCTATTTGCACAACTAAGCTTTAGAGAAGACAAGCACAATATTTTTGTCAAGCATATCATCTCCAGAAGCATTCAATTTAATCAGTCCTCAGGATTGCCACCTCTTTAAATATCAAATTACCATTCCACTCTGACTACCCCAAAGAAGAGCTGGACTGTGCAGCCCCAGCTCTACCTCAGATATGTTCTACAATAATTTAAACTCGTTTTGAGGTGACATTCAATCGTTCCTGCTTCCCAAAAGTGGCATAAAGGCTGGAGTTACAGCTCAGATGCTGCAGCATTTATTGCAGTAGTCTTTCAAAAATACACAAAATATGATTCTCCTGCTCCTGAGATGAACGTGAACACTGACATCGACAACAGTGGCAGGAGGAACAAATGATTGGGAAGATAAATTAATCTGAGGGTAGTCCTGAGAGATCAAAGCAACCTGGAGCTCCTCAGAAGGGATCAGACTCTCTGTGCAGCTGCTGGCTGAGATGGGAGTGCCCAGAGAAAAGGTGGGATCTGCTTGGTCTTCATTCAGAAAATAGGAGGGATCAAAAGGGCTGTAAGAGGGGTTTGGAGCAAGGGGACAGTCTGAAAGGTCTGTTCCTTAGGAAGGGCTGGTCACACCCCCAGACAGACAGGAAAGAATATCATGGTTTGAAACCAAACTTTACAATAACACCACGTAGCAGAAATATCAGTGGCCAAATTCCCTCTGTGGGTGGACATGGTTATTACAAGGGAATATTAAGAAACTTGGCTTTGTTTCTCTTCTCCCAAGAATAAATCTCATCCTGTTTTCATTGTGATAGGCAGTGCAGAGCTGAAAGAATTAACGTGGCTTCATGGAACTCCTTCTGTTCAAGCAGCATCCTCGAGATGCTCTCAAAGATTAACACATTAAATACTTGCAGTGCAGTTGCCATTTACACAACCAAAGCATTCACTTGGGAAGCTTTTAACTGTGCCCTGGGGCAACAAAGCAAATGGATTAGGGAACTGTTATCACATCTCTGTACACCTGAAGCACGGTTCAGTCTTACAGAATCAATCAGCGTTCTGTTAAAATAATCGGATCTCATTTACACGGTATATTAAATATTATTTTGTAGTTTAACAGTGTTCAGTCTACAGAGCACAGATACTATCTTATAACTCAGTCTGACATCCAGGAATAGTGTTATATATAAATAACAGGAGCAAAAGTCTATTTTTAGAGATGCTGATCTTGCGTTTAACAGGGCTTTTAATTTAAATAACCATGCACACTCAAACACAGTTGGAACTACTAATTATTAGCCCTATTCTGAAAAAGAGTCCAACAACTGTGGTTCTTCAGAGCAAAATTTAGCAGAGGTGGATAAAAAGCACGCTTAGGACACAGGGAAAACTGTGATGAATGATGCCAGGAAGGGAAACAGAGAAAGGAGAGGAGGACTGGCTGTTCCTGCACGGCTTGGAGGGTGAGCACTTTTGCCCAAACATCTGTTTTACCAGCTAAACAATCATGTCTTTGGTCTCTGAAAGAAGTGACTAGTCCTTCCTACCAGGAAAAAGGAAATTTATCTGTTTCTTCCTCAGTCTGCTTCTTACTCAGCTGAAGCAAAGAAGCTGGAGCAGAGCATAAACCTGGACTTTATTCACTCCCAGCTACTTGGAGCTTTGAGGTTTCACAGCTTTCCACACAAGGCCACAACAGTATCAGAGTCCTGCAGATGACACAGAATGCCTGCAGCGTGCATTTGGGGGGTGAGAATAAATTTACTTGGCTCTTTCTCCCTCAAGGTGGCAGAGACAGGTCCCTGAGGGCTGGTTACTGCTCCCCCACAACTGCAGGGAGGAGGACAAAGTCATCTGGGCATTAATATCCTCATTGCTCTGTTTAAAGGGACACAAAACTCAGGATGCTCTCCAGGCCTCTCCAGACTGAGAGACTAAATCTGTGCTGGTCTCTCTCCCTTCTCTATAACACTTGAATTACAGCTTTGACCCTTCAACCAGTTCCTTTAAAAAGGAGGAAATTCCACTGCTCTCTGCTGTGTCCATCATCTGTGGCTCACCTGACACAGCTCTCTGGGAGAGGGACATTCACACACACAAAGCACAACCTGCTCTGACATCCCCAGTGCCAGGGGAGGATCAGCACTCCCAGAGCTGCTCCCAGAGACCAAAGAGCTTTGGAGAGTTCATTTACCTCTGTGAGGATCGAGCGTTGACACTTCCACTTCAGTGTACTCCACCTCAGCACTCTCAAGGTCAGGGCCTGCCCCAAAAATAGCAAGAAGATGTTTCTTTGTAGGACTGGAGGCTTTGTTTGAGCTGTGGGCCTGATCCTGCTGCCACTGGAATTAAGGGACAAGTCCTCACTGACTTTGGGAGGTGCAGGATCAGGCCCTACGTACAGATGGCAGTTCCTCTGCTAAGAGCTGGAAGGCCAACCCATTCCTGAGGGTCATCCCAACCCATTCCTGAGGGTCATCCCAACCCATTCCTGAGGGTCATCCCAACCCACTCCTGAGGGACATCCCAACCCATTCCTAAGGGTCATCTCAATCCAAAGGGCAGCAGCCCAACTAAAGGCAGATTTCTGAAACTGTGGGACCTGCAAATTGTGCCTAAAACTCTTCCTTTCCATGTAAACACTTTCAAAAGTGTCACAGCACAAATGGAGCAAGGAATTATCACAGATTGTCCTGCATTCCAGCCCAGCTCCTCTTTATTTCTCTCCCTGCCCTTACTTTCTCCCTGTTTTCTATGGCTATGACAGGACACTTCCCATTCTCTGCTTTCCTCACATTTAAAGCCATCTTTAAGCCTTTCACAGCCTCCCTCATCACCTCTCATACTCCACATCTCTGCTTTTCTGGATACAACAGACACAAGCAACAGCTGCTGCCTTCTACTCTGGCTTTTTCTGAGAGTGCAGATGGTTTTCCACCAGATTTCTGTAAGAGTTGGAAGAAACCACAACAGCCATCCAGACTGGCACCCTGCAGAACTGATTTGTCAGATTTTTTTTTAATTCAGATTTCAGAGCAGTTTATTTTTAGATTTAACGCTTAAGTAATTTCAAGGCCAACCAAAATGAAGACAGGATAGAGAAGTAAAAGAAGCAGAAAATGCCGGGATATTTGTTACATAGAACTTACAGTTTTGAGCCTAAGTTGTATTTTTATCCCAATCCAGCACAGCTAATTACACTTCATAACACAGTTGGCAAATGGGTCCTATCAGTGTCATTTTGTGCATAAGAAAAAGACCTGAGCTCAGCAAAGGAAAATCTTCCCCACTATCAAAGAGAAAAAGGAAAGGGCTGGACCTATCCCAGCCTTGTTGCTACCATTAGAAAACATCATGACTTTCAGTTATAAAATAGTTTAAAAATCTATTGTTTAAGTATGAAATTACCTTTACTCTCATCTGCTGATTTCATGTGATTTTCACTATCTTCAATGTAACCTGATCCTAAAATATTAAAGCCAAAGTTGAGCTGTCAAAAATGTTTATTACAGCCAATTAAATCAATGAGTTACATAGCTGCAATTGCTCCTGCCATTATCTCTATTTTTCTATGAGCCATTCTACTTCTGGTGTCACACCTAAGGCATTCGAGTAACACAGGTGGCAAGAATGGGGCTTTTTAAATAATCAGCTAAAAAAAAAAAAAACCACCCAAGGGGTAATTTTGTTTATGTCCAGTACTCTAAATAACATGTCCAGCTATCTTTGTAAAGTGGGAATTTTGAGATCCTGGAATGAAATGTAAGTTAACACCTCTGTCCCGTGACCACATCACAGGACCACGAGCCACAACTCAAATTTTCCTCTCTGCAATGATTTTCTTGCAGCTGTGTCAAACCCAGAAAGTAATTTTCTTTTACCACGATTTCTCCATCTGTAACACTGTCAATTGACTGCCTGGGAGAAGTGTCTGAGGAGAGTTATAAACCAATCTTTGTGTGAGACGTGCTCATAAAAACTGTACAAAGACAAAATGACAGAAGGCACTTTGGAGAATGTTACTGGCACCCCTCTGTATTCCCCCAAAAAACTGGGCCCTAAAAAACAACAGCTATGCAAGTCCAAAACTTTCAATAAATGTTGAATTCAGCCCATTTATTACCAGTCTTACAGCACAATGTCCTACCTGGATAATAGTCCCCATCACTGGGCTGTCTCGTCAGCTTTTCATTTGTCAAGTTTGCAGCCAAGGCTGAGCTGAAAAACAAACCGAGAAAAGTTGCTGCAGTTATCCCCAATCAGCCAATAACACCATTCTGTGCAAAGATCAGTCACTGTCCCTGCTGACTGCCACATATTCTGAACTACTGCAGCTAATGGAGATTGTGCCTTTCTCTTCAGGAGAAGCACCAACCAAATCCAAGGTAAAAAATGTTCTGTATTGCATTATTCTTCTTTAAGACCTCTGTATTTTCAATCCACTCCATATCTAAATGCATTCAAATACAGGCCTGACATTCTTCTATGTCACTTAGCTGGCCTTTTTTTCTATTTTTAGAGCATTTCCTCATCCTGTTGTTGTGTGAGCAGGTGGTACATGAAGCAGAACCATCTATTGTCTGCAGGTGTGTGCCATAATAAACTACATTCAGGCCTTTCAACAGGAATACTCCATCATTATCCTAAAGGGTCGTGGTTTAATCCCACATGGCAGCCCAATATCCCACGGCTGTTCCTCACCCCTCTCCCCTGCCTGTGGGGGGACTGGAAAAAGGTAAAACCCAGGGGCTGAGATAAGAACAGTTCAGTGATTGAAATAAAGTTAATAATAATAATAATAATAATAATAATAATAATAGCAATGAAAAGGAGGGAGAGAGGAATGAAAACCAAGAACAACAAGTGATGCCCAGCCAGTCCCTGAGCAGCGATGGCACCTCCTGGCTGTGTCATCGGGACAGCGCTCAGCACCTGCTGTCCTTCAACTTCCAGTGCTCAGCACCTGCTGTCCTTCAACCTTCACTGCTCAGCACCTGCTGTCCTTCAACCTTCAGCAGCCCCACAGCAGGAGGGTCCTCTGATAGCTGGGACAGGGGAGCCACTTCATGTCCTCGGTCTCCAAGGCTGCTGCACTGACAGCCACCACTGCTCCTCTGGCTCCTTCAAATCCCCTCTCCCCAGAGTTAAAGCCCCCGGAGCCTCTGGGCTACTCAAACTGGAGGCTTCTGCCACACCTGCCCAGCCAGGCTGATTTCAGCCACAGTACAGTCTGTTGGGGTCCCTCTCCAGAAACACAACTGGGTTCTGCCCCTGATGGCATCAGGGCACACTGTGCACCAGGACCTACTAGAGCCTCCCAGTCCCGGGGGGTTGACATTCCAGGCATCTGCTCCACACGCTTTAGTAAACAAGGCTGTGCCTCTTCTCCACCTGGCTGGAGGCAGAGCCCCTCTAGTCCTGCTCATAGGATTATCCACTTGCTGCTTGTAAAAACGGGTTAGAATTCCTTTCCATAGAGTCAGGAGTAAGCTCAGCCCTTCCACCCCAAGGAGCTGCCCATTGCAGATCAGAGCAGCAACTTTCCTGGAGGAACCCCCATTTGTCATCTTCCCTTGCAAGCCATGTACCCTCTAGGGTCCAGGGAGAATTCCCATCCCTTTTCCTCATGTCCTCTCTGGGGTGCTCTCTCAGGGTCCCCTGTGGTGTAACCCTCTGCATTCTCTCTCTGGAGCAAGAGGGCATTTACTGTCAATAGCTGAGATGCTGGACTGTACACGTAGGGGTACAATCTACCCACTCTGGGTTGCTCCACCAGCTTCTCCACAGCAGAGGCAAGGGAGGAAGAGAGATTTTCTCTGTACTGCTGGGTTGGTGAAGCCACTTCATCCACCAGTGGTGCCTCTTTGTCTCTCCAGGCCATCACTGCCAGTGAGTTGGTGCACGACAATGGTGCACTCTGGACAAGTTTCTGACACGTGGTTTGTGCACATCAGACTTCACCTGGATCTCTGAGTAACCTTGTGTTGTCTGGGTCATAAGTTATCTGTAATTCCCTCAGGTACTGGGCACCTCTCTCCATCATGGTCCACTTGCCTGGGTAACACAGAACATCTTCCTGGAAGGGATACCTTTCCTTCACGCTTGACAAGAGTTGCCTCCAGAGGTTGAGGACTTGTGTTGCTCTTCCAATGACCTCATCAATGCACCCTTCCCTAGAAAATGATCCCAGCTGCTTGGCTTCCCTACCCTTTAATTCCTCAGCACTAGTCCCATTATCTCAGCATCAGAGCAGCCAGGGAATAACGTGCTCACCTGGATGATGGTTGAAATCTTCCTGCATATCCCACCGCTCACTCAGGGATGGGGATTGAGAGGTTGTCTCGTGTTCTGCCTCTTCCTCCTGTTCCTGTTGTGGCCTTGCTCCATCCTCCTTTATTAAACCAGCTGTCTTTCCTGCCCATTTCTCCTTGTGAACAGGGGCAACACACACACAGGGGTTGGTCCTTTGATTCAGCTGCATCACCTGTCGGTGGGGTGAGTTGTCACAGGCTTTGAGTAGCCAGGGATTGAGTAGCCACAATGTCTGTCGTGGCCACTGTGCTTGTTGTGGGAGTTGGAGCAGCCCCAGTGCCTGTCCCGGGGGTTGCAGAGGCTGCAAATAATTGCCTAACCCTAAACAAGATCTGAACCACACACTCAGCAACACTCTGCTTCCTGCCAACAGGACCACGGTGGTTCCAACACCCCAAGTCGATGCAAAATCTTCAAAGCTCTCAAGCACTTTTGTAATTGGGCTGGAGAAGAAAGGGAAGCTGTGGGAAGCTGTGTCCATAGGCTGGCTCTCCGAGGAGAAAGGGAACAGGTGTAATTGTGGATAATTCCCAATAGGTGTCTCCCCAGCACACAGGTGACAGCGGCGCTGAGGACGCGGCCAGGTGAGCGATCACCAGCGATTCCATCGCCTCGTAAATGAGGGTCACAAAGCAGAACAAAACAATCACCTCAGCCCAGCCCCCAATGGCAAGAAACGCAACAGGGAGGGCAGCGTTCCCTGTAAGTGCAAGTGAGGTGTTCACACCCAGCTCTGAGAACAAGCACAACTCTAAGAGCAAATAAATCCACATCGTGACAGCTGGCTGTTAAACTGATGAATGCTTGGAACAAATTTGTTCCAACGTGCACTGGTCAGATCTGGGTTTAACTCTGAGAGTCCCACTCTGAGCTCCAAAAAGGACTGTCATGCTTTAAACCCAGCTGGCAGCGAAGCATCACACAGCACGTCACTCGCTCTGCCCCAGCCCACCCTGCCCCCAGTGGGATGGGGAGGAGCACTGGAAAAAGGTAAAACCCATGGGTTGAGATAAGAACAGTTTAATGATCAAAATAAAGTAAAATATAATAATAACAGCAACAATCACCACAATAATAATAATAATTATAAAGGAAGAGAGAGAGGAATAAAACACAAGTGCAACAAGTGATGCCCAGTACAATTGGTGCCCACCCTGTGCCCGATGCCCAGCCCATCCCAGACTGAGCAGTGTCCCCCAGACAATTCCCCAGCAGTGTCCCCCAGACAATCCCCCCCCAGTTTCTACACTGGCCATGATGCTCTATGGTGTGGAATGTCCCTTTGGCCAGTTTGGGTCAGCAGTCCTGGCCATGCTTGTGCCCCTGCTGGTGGGCAGAGCAGGGCAAACTGAAACGTCCTGGAGTTAAAGTAAGCACTGACAGCTAAAACATCAGTGTTAGCAACGTTATCCTCCCAGTAAATCCAAAACTCAGCACTGTACCAGCTACTAAGGAGAAAATTAACTCTATCCCAGCCGAAACCAAGACAGCAAGACATCTTACCCAGACATCTCCATGGATGGTCCTTTAGCTTGACAGAAGAAAAAAAAAAAAGGCATCTATTAGTGGGTTGCACAAGTAAAGGATTTAAAAGTAAACATCTAAACAAAGATAGAGCAATTATTTAATCATGTAAGAATAATTTCTCCTGGCAATCACAAAATTAATGTTTCCTTCAGAGAACCCAAGATCCTAAACCTAAAAGAACTAAGATTTTACCATGGCAAATTTAAGCAGTCTGGGACATCCAGATGCTTCAGATTTTCCCAAATAATTTGCAATGTACTGCATATCACAGGATAAACCAGGTTTATTTATATTCTGAAAGAACAAGATCTGAAAAAATACCTTAATGATAAAAGACAAATCCCTAAAGAAAACCATATTACAGTGTGGGAAGGAAAAAGAAACAATCCCACAACCAAATAATCTAAATTTATTTCATGAGGACTAGAGAAGCACCTCAGTTACACCTGAGCTGGGACCCCAAATCAAATTTTTCTAGCTCTGTGAGGGATCAAAAGCCTCCTCAGGCCCTATCTGCCTCTTCACTGCCCAGGACTGATCCACACCTAGGGCTGCATCTGCCCAATGTACCTGAAAAGCCTCAGCACACTCGCAGCTATAATTTGGGTCACCTGGCATTTCTAAGCAGATTTTTAGTTTTTTTAAATTGTGTTCAGTCTCCCCCACAACCCTTTGCTTCTGACACAAATGCAGGTTTAACTGGAGTACATTTGTCACCAAAGGGAGAAGGGAACCATTCCTTACCCTTTTTCTTCTTGCGCAAAAACCACCACAGGGCAAGTGCTGCTGCTCCTGCAACGGTGACCAGGACCAGGGCAGCGATGACTCCTTTCTTCCAAGCTGCCAAGATGACTGGAAACAAGAAAAACACGTTTAAGAGACTATTTACTGTGATAGGCCAACATTACCAGCTTCTGCAGTTCCTGACCTTTCATTTTACTACAAATCCTACTTCTTACACCCCAGGGAAGAACTCTGAGGGGCCTTGCATGCAAAGGTCACCGGTGAGCCTCCACTAGTGACCAAAACCTCAGCACAACCAGGGGTTGCTTTCAGTTTGCATCTGCCCCTTTGGCTTTTGAGCATCCCTTAAACTTTCCTCTGTTTTTATAAAGAGATCTCTCTGTTCAACTCCTGACAGGGGTGGAACAAAAGCAAGTCAGGGAGCTACACTCAGGAACAGCCCAGATGAGATGAGCTCACCTGACAGGAGGACGGGGGAGGCAGATTAACCACTCACCACTGATGGTGATGGGGCGGCTCCTCACGTCCACATTGGCTCTGTTAGAGGCCACACAATAATATGTCCCCGTGTCCTGCCTCTTCATTGTCTTCTTGTGCCACATGGCTCTGTCTGCATGCTCCACTTTTTCAAACAGAAGAACCTCACGGTCAGTTTTTTTAAAAAACCTGAACAGGATTGGCCAAGAGCCTTCTCTGACCGAGCAGAGAAAAGCGGTCTCGCTGCCATCTTCCACTTCTCTGTAGGGGACACTGCCCAGGCTGGCATCCCTGACTGGCACTGCAGAGCAAGGCATAGAGAAAGCAAATATTAGCACTGTTAGGAGGAACTTTGATGCTAAACTATTGTGCTTGCCTTAATGCTTGGTTAAACAGAGACTGAATGCACAGTGTTAATCTTCCCAAACACTCTCTGACAGACACCATCCCCCAGTAAATATTTTGATACACCCAGAAATAGAGAGGGCACGACAAAGAAACAAAGCAGGCACAGGAGGAAATTATATCCATTCCCCAGGGGTCAGTCAGTCACTTTCCTTAAAATCCTTCGGATGCCACTCCAGCCCCAGCCTACAAACTATTTCATTTCCAGAAATAACACACTCAGCTGTCCAATAGTGCAAATAATGATGGTTCAGTTGATGTAGCTGTGCTTTCATAGCTATGTAGAGTTGTGCTATTTCATGCTAACTGTGTGGTAACTGTATTCTTGTAACCTTTCATACACAATAGTGGGTATCAGCAGATAATGGACCGAATTTTCCAAGCCAGTCCCTAATTCCAGTGGTTTAACAGAATATGGCAAACACAATGAGGAAAGTCAGTTTGCATTTGCACAAACTGTAGTGCTTTTCCAGATCTGGTATAGACAGAAAGGACAGAATACAGAGAATTCAAAGCCACCACCTCAGCAGTGGCAGACTGGGGAAGATTGGCTCACCAGGCTCCAAAACATGACTCTATTCACAACTTCCAAACAGTGCCACAATCAATCCTGCACCACAGCTCTAACAGCTGGGATACACCAGTTCCAGCAGAGAAACACCACTTGTTAATGGATTAAGATTATACTTTGTGTTTGTATATTTGTACCTTGTTATCTCAAACCACCTTGACTTTTAATCTCCCTGGATAAATCTCTCTAGAGTTTTTATCACTCAGCTCCTCTCTAGAGTTAGTAAATGGTGGAACTGATGAACTTAAGGTGGGTCCTGCTGCTATAGTGTGTGGGAGTGCCAGTACTGTATGAAAAGCCCTTTTTGGGAGCTCAGTGAATGGGGAGCACATCCCTTCACTGTGCAATAATCAGAATAAACCCAATTATTCTGGATGTATCTGTTCAAATCATACACAACTCCATGTCGAAACTCAGAGGGAAACCAGCCTATTAACCACAAGTTTATCTTTTTAAAACCAACAGAATTTAGGTTCAAGCCAGGACACAAAACTGAAAACTCCTTGGCAGAGAGAAATTACCTCTTCTTTTTGAAAGGTCAAGAACAGACCCGCTCTGCTCCTGCACTACAGTGCTCTGACCAGCAACCATTTTTAATTCAAGTGAGCAACAATTTGGAAACATTTCCCATCCATTTTGCTTAGTCCATCATTTGCTGCCACAGTTTCAAACTCTAAATGTGACATCAGACAAGAAGAAGAAGAAGAAGAATTGAGCAGACTTACCAATTACTGTGACGTTCAGGACGTCGCTGCTTTTCACACCGCTGGAGTGGTTATTTCGAGCGTCACATCTGTAACCCCTCCTGTCATTCAGCCTAATATTTTCATCCAAGAAGGTGGCATACGTGTCATTAATGACTGTTTTCTCAACTTCATCCCCTTTGTAGAACCTGAAGGTTTTGGGGGGCGTCCCCATCACCGAGTGGCAGATGAGCTGCAGGGGATTCCCCAGCACCACCTCGGGCAAACCCCCGGCGACGGAAAGAGTTGGCTTGGAAACCGGGGCTGAAAGGGGAATGAAAGGAAAAAATTGTTGAAAATTGCACTGCAGAAGGGCAAAAGACACCATATTATTTCATAGGAAGTATTTAAATACACAATTTTTATCTAGTTTGCACGTGCTTTACTGGGAAGCTCTTCCTTGTCGATAGAACAGAAATGGGGGAACTTGACCAAGTCAATAATGCAGGTAATGGAACATGTGGCTGTGAATTAAACAGCAGGCAGGGAGGATGGGAAGAAAGACAAAGGAGGAGTGACACAGCTGGGGATCACCCAAACTCCAGAACTAATTCTGACCCAGGGACCAAGTGTCACATTGCAGGTATGGCCTGAGATGGACCGTGCAGCACCTCATCAGTCACAACCCACTTCATCCCCTTCCCAGGCTGGAGAACCACCTGAGCTTGTTCCATGAGAGGGAAGGGACTAGAGTGCTGCTAATCAGCTTTTCTGGAGCAGAGCTAACCAGATGACCTCTGGTTCTCCTGGTTTCTGCCTGGAGAGTCAGGGAGAGGAATTCAAGGCAGACACTGTCAGAATTTCAGGCCAAACTGAGGAGTGAGAGATTTGCAGAACAGTTCTCGCTCCTGCAAATGGTAATGAGTGAATTTACCTGGCACCCAGCAGAACCAAGGGAGCAGCAGCAAGCCATGCCAGCTCCCTTCTCTCCAGGGCCAGCCCTGGAAAAGCCTGACTGGATTAGATCATGACACACCTAATCCTCTGCAGAGGAAGATGACGAGCACATCTCCCAGAAATGAGTGTTGTAAGAACTGAGAGACACCCTGCGAGTTCATGGACCAGAGACTGATTCTGTATCAACTCACCATAAACATTAATCCTTACAGGTCTGCTCTCCTTGACTATTCCTTTTACTTCAGCTTTGCAGGTGTAAGAGCCAGTATCATTCACATTAACTCTCATTTTTAAGCTCTGAGAACTTTTCAGTGGGATGTCTCCATTGGAATTTTTCCGTAGGATAGAGAAGTTCGCTTTCTGAAAACCATTAATGCTGCAATTCAAAATTAACTCTTTATTCTTATCCAGCTTAGTCATAGAGGCAATCAGTGTTGGCTTGGGGAATAACTCTGCAAGATAAAAAGAGAACTAATTCATTCCAATTGAGCCTGAAAGAATAGGAATGTTTAACACATACAGAATGAAGGACACAATCTGGGAATGAAAAAAACACGTTGTTTCAATATTATTATATTTTCAGGGAAAACAGAAACTCAGCAACCACTTGGAACCACTTTTCACGTGTTATTTGAGGATGTTATTTTAGTTGGGGGGTACTGGTAGAAGAAAATCAGAAAATAAAATCTAAAAAGCCTTTAACTTCAAGAAAATTTACACTTGGATCTGGAGGCTACACTTGGGTCTTGAGTTCTAGCAAATTTAAATTTAAATATCAATACACTGAGGAAAATCTGAGACGAACAGAGGTTTTACCTGACACAACAACATTCAGTTTGGTGGTTTTAGATGCTCCCCCTTGCTCCACCTTACACAGGTATTCCCCACTGTCCTCTAGAGTAGCTACTGTAGAGTATCTCAGAAGCTTCTTATCCTGGACACTGTTCAGGATTGTTTTGTTTTTCTGGAGGATGATCTCGAGGTCCCGCATTCGAACCACGGCAGTGGAGCACTCAAACTGTATTTGGTCTCCTTCTGTGACATTACTGGAGGGCACAGTGGTCAGAGTGGGCTTTATAAAAGGTTCTGCAAGAGGATACACATAAACATGCAGATAACCACATACAAATAGAAAGGCCTGGCCCAATTTTAACTGTAGCAAGCAAAACAAATGTCAAAAGGAAAGCCAAGCAACTCACCCCTGACCGTAACGAAGGTTTTGTTGCTCCGTGCTGACTCTTCCCATTCAAGCTTTACATTTCTCCTACCAAAGCAGTCAAACTGTAAAATATGGTCTCCTTCTTCAACAGAAACCTCCAGTTCGGAGAAGTTGGTGTAAGACTCAGGTACACAGGTTTCTTTGGGCGTTGAATTCATCTTTGTCTTCCGGAAGCAGAACAGTAAAGGGGGTTCTTCTTCGGGCAGCTCACAACGTAACTTCACAACTTCGCCCTCCAAAACATCCCTCTTGTCAGCAGTCAGGATTGGCTTGGTCATTCCTTACACCAGAAGGCAAGGAAAGAAAAGAGAACATTGCATAATCCTGGAAGAAACGCTGTCTCTGGTGACTGTGGTGATGATTTATGCTAATTAACAGATGCAAATACTTTGCAGGAACCAAGATTTTGAAGACCACCCGGTACCTACTTAATGCTGAACAAATTCTTTCCAAATTGCTTTTCCAAGGGGAAAACTGTCACTTGCAGTCAAGAACACAAGGCTAGAACGAGTAAGGATGGAGGTGGCCCCTGTTCTCACTAGAGATGAAAGAATAAAACTGATACAACACTGTCTGCAAAAGCAGAGCTGACGCTCCTTTGGCAGTGGCTGCCGCAGGCTGAGCATTTCTGCACCTTGTTTCCAGCATTTCCAGGGATCTGCCTACCCTCCATCATGTTTCTGGGAATGGGCACAAGCTTTCACAGCTAACATTTCCTCTAGGCTAGGGCACAGAGGCTCAGGGCAGCGGGGAAGGTGGCACAGGGGGCACAGACTGTTCCTGACTGTCACTGGGGTCACGAGTCCACGAGGGTTTAGTACTAAACTCTCCTGAAGTGCTGTGGATAAAATGGATAAAATGGACAAAAATCCCTTTGCAAGATATCCTACTGAGCACTGACCATTATTACTTCCCCTGGCAGGTTGGGGTTTGTTTTTTTGCCACCTTTGAAAGAGCACTCACCTGCCACCCAAACGTGGACGGGGTCACTTGACCGTGTCTTTTTCTCTGCTCTCACCGTGCACTGATAGTCCCCCGTGTCTGATGACCTGGCCACGGGGATCTCATACCGTGCCTCTCCCGTGTCTGCCACAGTCATGAACACGAGCTTGCGGTCCTTAAAAATCGTGAAATTGTATCTCAGCTGGAAATCGGCGCTTTTGCTGATGTCAGCGTGGCAGATGATTGACATGGGAGCTCCATTCCTCACTTTGACAGATGGCTGAACCTTGATTTCAACCGTGTTGAAAGTAAAAACTTGATAGAGGGAAAAAAAAAAAAAGAAAGTTACATTTATTTACTCCAAACACAACACTGCTATCTCAAGTCGCTACATTTTCATCACAAAAATTAATTACAAAATTTGACATTGTATTTGACAGGAATGTTGTAATTTATACACAAAGTAATTTATATGATTTATATACAAAATTAATAAGCATATTTAGAAACAAAGTTCATAATAGTATTTATGTATACATGTATATGTGTAGAGAAATATATTCTGTTTATAATGATAAATAACTTGTAGCTTAAATGTTGTAAATGTCATAATCTTGGTATAATTAATATTTTTACTCACACAGCTGGAAGAACAAGCAGAGAGAAAAGATCTGTGAGTTCATTCATTTTCCCTTCCTTCAGAACTTACACTTTTTTGGGTCATGCCCGTTTTGGTCAGGATTTACATTAGAAATTTGCTACTAGAAAGGAAAACTTTCCTGCATCTAAAGAAGCCCCTTGCCCTGTACACTCACCACCTATTTATGTGCCCTCTCTAGAGAGAGTTTTGGGCATAAAACCAGTGCAAAAATTGTCATTTTTTTTGCATGTGAATAAACCATATGACAAGAAGCAGCAAACTTTTGTCCCTGGTGATGGAAAAAGGGAAGCAGGAGGAGTGTACGTGCTGGGAGTCAGCGAGATGAAAAGGTTAAAGAGTTCCTTTAGAGTTCTTAACTCTGCTCAACTGACCAATTCCCTGGCAAGAGCAGGAGAAAGTGCCCTTAACTTATATTCTGTAATTTTATCCTCCCTCCTTGGGCATGGGAGGCTTTTTTAAATACCTAAAAACCAAAATGCTGATTTTCTCTCCCACCTCTTTCACACCTCTGGAAAGCAAATTACTCCAGGAAAGATTTCACTAAAACATTCATGAAGATAGAGCAGCACATCCCTCATTTAAACACTGCACCAAGAAACACCACCAAGCAATACCTTTTATTTTTCATATGGCCAAATTTCATACTGAGATATCGGACAGCAAACCCAAATAAACTCTGTTACAAAGGCACACCAACAACAGAGGAATTAGTTAATTAATTAGGAATTAAATTAGTTATTTTAAATTTGCATGTGAAAAAAAAAAACAAACAACCCCACACCAAAATTATAATTCTTTACCTTTATCCTGAGCGTAAAGTTCTGAACCTGGAGGGGAAAAAAAAAAAAAGAAATGTTGTTTTCAAAGCTTGCAGACTGAGAGACAGCAACGTGTGAAACTGTTAAAAAAACCCTCCCCAAATCCCCCTCCTCAGACAAACCAAAACCACAGGTACCCAGCAGAGATTTAAGTTACCAAACTTACACTGCAAGAAAATCACCAGAAGAGCAAGATACATCTCGTTCCTGAAGGACAGACACTCAACCCCACAAATCAAACAATATTCATCATCAGAGGTGACGCCTCCAGGTACCAAAAACCACCTTCTGGCCTTTAATCCCTTGGCGTTTTTATGGAAGCCGATTGAAATTTGCCATGAAGATCTGTAAGTTATCCCAGGTTCCTCCACAGCAAACTGGCTGGATCAAGTAATCGTTCCCATTACTGGAAACTGGAAATGGCAAACAATGAGAATCTATCTGCTGCTCCCAGGCAGATTACTGGTCAGGAAGTGACTGGACTTTTCCTGAGGGCGCCACCAAATGCGTTTGCTTTGTTTAATTTCTTAAGCTGTATTAAAAAAACAAGAAGTTCCAATGATATTTATCCCGCAGTTCCTGTCAATAGGGGTATTTTTAAGTCACGATTAACCACTTAGGAACACAAATCACCTTTGCTACTTGAACGCAGCAGATTGTTGAGCAAAGATTTCCCTTCATCCTGACACGGTGAATAGATGGACATAATTACCCATTTTTCCCCTTTACATCCATATTTAGGTGTCCCATCTTCGCCGTGGCTGTAGGGTGCACAATAAATTCAAATTATCTCAGAAATCAGAGAAACCAGAATATGGATAGGCAGATCTCTCACACTACCATCATATATCAGAAACATGGATCTACAGCAGATTTTATTTTATGCAGTTAGAACAGTGCAAAGCCTGCAAAAGCACAAACCTTACACCCCACAAGAAGAAGAACTGGTTGGAGTTTCAATTCTCAGCAGAAATCTGCAGCAGCACCGGCACAATCTGAAACGGGGCACACTTCTCAGTGGCTCAGGATATTCCTTTCTCACCATATCAGCCCCCTTTTAAGTCAGGCTTAAGCCATTCCCATCCTGAACAGCGACTCAGTCCACAGGTTTGACAAAGAGAGTTGAAGTTATGCCCTTCAAAAAGTGAGTCTGGAGTTGTGTGTCCCAGAACTCCCCAAACAGTGATTTAGTTATTCTTGAAAATTGAGTGTTCAACTCTTAATGTCTTCTCTCCTTTGTAGACAGAGTCAATGCTTTCCTTTAATCCCAGCAACATTTTCCAAGCTTGTTAAAACACTGTGTAAAACAACACAAAATACGCTCACAGAAATCTATAAACCAGACAATTCTCATGAGCTTCACTTACATGAAATCCTTTTTTTTTTTTTTTTTTCTCCTGGGGTAAACGAAAACTGTATTTTTCCCTCCCAAAAAATCAATATTTTAAAGCTGTAAGTGTGGATTGTTACGCACATAAGCAGGGCATTTTGCAAAGGGAAGCAGAAGGAAAACACTCATCTGGTTAACAATGCACCAGTGGTGAACAAGCACCTCTCTGGCTGTTTCACAGAATGGCACAATAGCCACGGCAATTAATGACTAAAAGCCAAGCCATTAACTACCACCAGTGTTTGTTCTGCTCAGCCCAGGCTGTTGGAAAAGCATCACCAACAAAGGACGGGGGGTTTGGCCGGTGGCCAACAATGGTCTCCAGGGACAGGTAGAGGAAAAGGCCAGGAGGACACGTGGCAGGTGGAGAACAAAGGTAGATCAACCCTTGCTATTGGTAACAAACAACTGGGAAGGAAGGAGATTTTCCCCTTCCCTCCTTTCCCCAGAAAATAATTCAGGACAATGTAAAAAGCTCAGCAAAACCACACCAGTCTTTCCCACGGGGGACAAAGGTTTCTCTGGAGAAAGGAGAGAGCGAGTGTGGGCCAAGTTCAGAGCCAGGCTGGTTTGAGACTCGGGTGGAAAGGCCAGTTTTGAAGATGAACCAGCTCAGGAGCAAGGTTTGATGCCAAAAGTGGAGCACATTCCAGAAGATCTTACAGGCTGATTGCACTGTCACATTCCTGCCCACCCTCGACATTGTCCTGCAGAGGAAAATCCCGCTGGCGTTGACCAAAATCCAAGAAGTGAATTCAACTGTAGGAATTCCAGCCAAAAGAACATGACACCTGAGAGGAAAACACTGCAAACACAAAAGAACGGCTTGAAACCATCTCCCCTGGTTACCCTGGAAATCACACTGACCTAAAGAATTTAAACCCCAAAGCACCTGTGCCAGTAATACAGCTGAAGATTTTCCTAACAGCCAGCTGATAGGGAGTTATTTCTGAGTTATATAACATCTAATTTATTCTAATATACATCATATATAGAACTCTATTCAATCCCTATCTCTATTTACAGGAAAAGCAGGACTGACCTCCGAAATGCAGCAGACAGAATAAATCATTCTAATCCGACCCAATGCCCTTTGAAACCCGTGGGAATCATCACATTTCATCTGCTGCCAACGAACTGGGCCCTTCAACACGAAACCTCCTGCGGGAATTCCCACTTTCTGCTGGCTGGATCCCCCACCGCTTGCTTACACACGACATTTCCTACGAGCCCTCAGCCCTGGCAGCCGAACAGAGCTGAGCTGAAACGAGAGGCAAAGCCTGTTTTGCCAGCTAAGGGGAAAAATGCTGAATAAGATTTTCAAATTTTTCCCTCTGCAAACACAGTGTTTTCAGGCAGTGCCTCCTGACAGGAAAGGCAGCTGGTTGTTTCCATGTGCTGTCCGGGACAGCGCAGAGTGGCCGCGCTGCTGGAGCTCAGCACTGACAATTCACTTCCTCACACCCAGCCCAGCCAGTTCTGGGTCCCCCTCAGCTCTGCCTCCTGCTCTCAAATGCCTGTTCCTGAGGGCAGCTTCACTTTCTCCTCCAAAGAATTTCTATCTCACCGATAAAAACGTTTCTGGGGTCAGAAATCTCAGCCCTCGTACGTAATTTCTCGTGTGAGGTCACTGGTTTTAAAAATAGTTAATTGCTACAGAGGTGTGTCTACAAATGTTTGGGTTTTTTTCTGAGTTTTATTTTAAAAGCTCTACAAATTCAGAGGTCTGGGTCCATCTACACTGAAGTCAACACAAGTTTTCCAGTAACTAAACCAAGACCGAAAAAGCAGCTCTGATTTCTAGTCCCCCCCATTCATGACACAGATAATCACGAAATTATTTTGATTTCTTGCAGCTGGGAGCTGTTTTGCTCAGTTCTAAATTCCTGTTTCAGTATGCTCATAGATAATAGAACTATGACAAACATTGCTGTTTACACAAGTCTGGACAAATCCCTGGTAAACTGGGAATGAAACAAGTTCTTTCTACATTTATTTTCAGGGCATAGTGTTTTCTCTTGATTGTGGGACACTTGAGTCACTACTCTTTGTTTTAAAAGTGTCTCTTTATACCTCCCCAAAGAAGAACTAAAACTTATTTTTTTCTCCATGGATTTGAATATTTACAGAGTACAATAAAGACATTAACACTGCCTTTTTTTTCCAGGAGTCTGGAAGTTCTACAATTTACAGAGACTCTGGACTGCCAGTTTGTGCACCTGGGAATAAATTGCATTTCACAATGGCACCATCTGCTGGGAGATGAGCACGGCAGAGAAGTGCAATTCAACATGTAGTAAATTAAACTGGTATCCAACACCCCCTCCAAATGGCAACAGGAATTAAACCCGGAAAAGCAACTGAGGGAACCAGGGGCAGATAACAACAGAATATCACTGAGGCTTTCACACTGCAACTGTTCTTTTTAATAGAACAGGAGTTAATTATTGCTACTTGGTTTTTATGCTTCCTTATTGAATGCCATGCAACCACAGCATTCCCACAGCAATTCCTGAACACATTTCTCTGGAACGCTCTTCATGCAGTGACGTCTGAATTTATCCCATGAGAAGTGCATTGGTAACTCCAGTTTTCTGTGTCCCACCCCAATCCTTTCTTTCTTTTTCCAGTTTTGGGAGAGGATTCAGAGGACAGACACACCACATTTCACCTTGGGGTTATCAAACTGGGTGCCCAAAAGTTATTTTCACCTGTTGACGTGGCCTTTGCAAACTGCAGTTAATTGAAAACCAGGCACTATGTCAAAATTCTCCTTCAGAACCTGAGCATCACTGCAAGAAATTTAAAGCTACCTTAAATATCCACATGGAAGAGATCCTTCCCTCTTCTGCTCTTAATTGTCCTCCAGGAAAACAATCCTCTCACAAACACCAAGCAGTTAAAATAAACAGCAGAGTAGCTCCCACAGCTGTTTTTAAAGGAGTGTAAAAATACGGTTATTCAGTGAGGATCCAACTATATCAGTAAAACCTTTCTGCAGACAAAACAGAGCCTTCATTTAAGTCATGACCAGACATAACTGTCAGTACAGGGTGATTTCTAGCAAACCTTCTGCAGATATCTACTGTAGCAGATGCTCCTCCAGAACCTCTCAGGATGAGAAAATGGGGCTGGGAATAACTTTCATCATTCTGCTGAAAAATGCAAATGTCCCTGGCAGGCTGTGATAGAACAGACACAGTGAGAGGCTTTCACAGCCTTACTACAGAGCACTATCACACTATTTACATTCCCAAGTGAAAGAGCTGACCTTGTGAATGAAAGCTCAGTTTTATTCTCTTCCACCTGCTCGCTTGAGGCAGAATATTGTCACAGCACCGAGTGATAATTATTTCCATTTCTGATTTTTTGACTTACTTGTTTTGGCTGGATGGCTTCTGCTCTGTAATGTCATGTTCATTACTCTCTGCTAAATTTATTCAGTTCTTCTTACATGTACAGCCACTTTAATTCCAGGCAGGAAATTCGTACGTCTAATAAAAAGGGAACTCTGAGCTCGCACAATGTCTTACTGTTGGCATCAAACTCTCTGTGTACATGCTGAACAAAGCAACATCACCTCAGTCCAAAGTCAACAGCCAGCCCTGCCAGGAGAACAATCAGCATGGAAGTAAATTCACTTCCAAACCCTAACCAGGGCTTTGGACTTGCCCTCTTTGGACACCCAGGCTGTGCATCCCAAGGGAACCTGCACACACTCACCCCATTGAAGCTGCTGTAAATGAGAGATCCTGGTGACAACCAGGCTTTCATTTTTTGAAAGGTATGGCCAAATTCACAGCTCATTTGCTGGGTAACCATTCCCCACTGCCCACACACAAGGAGAAGCAGCTTCTTAGAAAGAGAAAAGCCTTGGGTGGTGGGTGAGCACCTCCACAGCCCCTGAGGGGACAGGGCCATCTCTGAGGGGACACCATCCCCAATGCCAGCGTCTCAGGGACTGTGGGTGAGGGTTTCTGACAAGAACTGGCTGCCACACCAGGGAAATGCACAAACACCCCCCCAGTTGTTCCCCCAGCAGCTGCATTTTCACAAGTGCCTCCTGACAGCTGGGAAAAGAAGTTCCG